TTCTTCAAATGAGAAAGAGTTAGAAGTACTTACCTCTCCATTTCGTTCATGAGCCATAAGACATAAGGTGGCGATTTCGTCACCGGAACTTTCCGAATCCCATGCCATGTATGCTCGTTCCTTCTTCTTCTTTTCCTTGCGGTTTGGGCAATATGGCTTTATGTGGCCAAGTTCTCCACAACCAAAGCACGTTGGAACGGGTTCCCCCTTTCTTTTGAAATCTCGAGACCTAAGTTCTTCCTTCAAAAACTCTTGGAACTTCTCGAGCAAGTTATAAGAAGGATTATCGTCATCGCTATCGGAGTCGCTTACCTCTACCCTTTTTGAGGATGAGGCTTTGAGAGCGAGACCAGGTGGTGGTCCCAAAGTGGTGAAATACAAAGTCTAGAGGGGGGGGGTGAATAGGCTTTGTTACAGATTTAAAATCTTTTTCGTTTCTTTTGAAAACGTGAAAATAAGTGTTAATCTAGAGTTCTTGTGAACTTTAGATTGTGTGCGGAATTTGGTGGGTAGAGTGAGCAGTAATCAATATGGATGGGTTAGTTTTCACAGTTAATATAATTGCAGGTAAGAGTAAAGATAAAAGAGAGAGACACGCAAACTTTAACGAGGTTCGAAGGTGGGGTAATCCTTCTACGTCCTCAAAATCCACTATGTAGTTGGTTGTTGAATAATGAACCAACAATTACACTTGTGTGAATTTCTGCATGGTATATCTTCGCAAGGCCAATGTTGCTACTGCACTCATGCTGGCTTTGTTGTTCCTTCGAAGGTCAAGCTTCTTCAACAACTGCAATGTCCGAACAATAGGACTTGCAAGATCAACTTGTGAGAAAGTTGACCTACCCCCTTTCAATCAAGAAGTTTGATCAAAAGTTGTATCCTTCAACGTGGTGTGGTACTTGAGGCAAGTGTTAGACAAATGTGCAACTCTAGAGGGGGGGTGAATAGAGTTGTTTTCAAGAATGTGCGTTTTTCGCGTGTGTGAAATAAAAAATCACAGGAATAAGTAAAGAGAGTAAGGGAAAGAAGAAAACCGGGATTTATACTGGTTCACCACCTCGTGGCTAGTCCAGTCCTCCGAGAGACTCTCTCGAAAGTCCTACTAATCTTCAAGCTTCAACGGGTGCTTGAAAAACCGGTACAACTTGAGAACTTGAATCACACAAGCCTCACTTTCTTACAACAACAAGACTTGAGTCACACAAGTCTTATGAATAACACTCAAATGAGATTGAGTTTACAACACAAGAATGAAAGCTCACACAATTGAGCAAAGTAGTGTTTGAAGAATTAAAGCTCTATGGATGACAACTTCTTTAGCACTCAAAGAAAATATTTCTAACTCTCAAAAATAATGTTTTGATGAGGAAGATGAAGCAAGGGATGACAATGGCTCAATGAGTATTTGGACTGCAAGTGAGAAGTATGGAGAAGAAGGAGAATGAGGGATTAAATAGGCTGAGTGAAAATAAATCCGTTGGAGCAGGCTGAGAATATGCATCAGATAAAATTAATCGATTAAAGTAAAAGTTTAAATCGATTACGGTACACAGAAGCGAAATAGCCTGAAAAGAAAACTGAATCATAATCGATTAAATGAGGACAAATAATCGATTAGGAGGTTCGGTACGAACTAATCGATTAAAGAAGGAGAAATAATCGATTATTGATCAAAGTTGAGCAGCCCAACGAACAGCTTATAAATCGATTAAGGTGAAGCAACAAATCGATTAGGAGGTTCTGTCCAAGCTAATTGATTTTCTTAGAAGAAATAATCGATTAAGAGTTGAAACCTGAGAAATTGCGCTAGATCTAATCGATTATCTTAAAGGATATAATCGATTAAAATGAAAATAATGCGCAAACACAAAGGGCCCAAGCCAAGTGCGATTGGAAGCAGTTTGGCTTCTAACTCGTTGTTTCGGACAACAAGAATAACAACGGACGCTCCTTGGATAATATCTCCCTATTCAATGAATTTGAGTAGGGGAGAGAAAAAGAGTCCAAAAATTATTTTGTGTGTCAAACGATGTACACCAAAAATATTCAAAGTATATTTTTCTTACCACAAGAAAATTTGTGTAAACTCAAAAAATGATTTTTGAGAAATTTTGACACACTATTTTGAAACTGACTCGGTAAAATATTTTTAGACAGAGAAAAAATAAGTTTTCAACTGACTCATAAAATAATAATTTTTATCCCTCAAAAATTAATTTGTTTATGCAGAAGATGTTGTCATCCTTACAAGGATTCCTAGACTCAAATAAGAATAAAAAGTCTTAGGATTCTTCACTTCACTTCAAAAAAAAAATGCGTAGGGGGAGCGTTGATTTTAATGGTCGTAATCTCTTTGATACACTTCTTTGCTTTTCTTGATACGAAAAATAAAATTCGATCAGCATGAATTTAATCATCCTGTTTGTCATTCATCAAAACAAAAAAATATTCCAAAAAAAATGATAAAGGGGTTTGAACTCATATTCAACAGCAAGGAAACCTTCAAGTGTTTGCACTATAGCTCTTTGGAAGGAGGAGGAGTTTGCTTCTGGATAAGGAGTTTAGAAATCTCTCTTTATCAAGCTTTTTGGGCTAACTGTGAATGAGATAGCTTTGTTGTTAGAGATTGCTTCGTTGTTTATTCATTCATTCACACACTTCTCCAGTCTTCCAAGGGTGCTATTTATAGCTGGATTGGATAATCTATCCGTTGAATCATAATAGACTATCCGTTGCATTTGCTGGCTTCAATTTTGAATGAAGATTGCGATTTGAAGATTCCTAATTGGAATGGGTGTTTGGACATACCCAATTGTTTGAGGAGGGATTCCTTTTTCCACAGAATCCGTCTTCTAGCTGTTGTTCAAGAATTCAGAACTGTAGCACTTTACTCTGTTTGTCTTCTAGTGCTTGTTTGTGAATTCTGGACAGACTCTTCATTTTTAGAGGTCCAGACTTTGTCTTCGAGTCATTTGTTCTTGAATCAGCATAATTATCTTCAATCCAGCCGTTGAAAATCAAGAGATTGATTTTTCCTTACCAACGGGTAGAATTTCTTCATTCAAGACTTAGATAATTTTTCTAAGTCTTTTCTCACTTGTCCGCTTTTTTGAGAATTCCGATCTTCAATGAGTCTTCCGATTCTTAGCTGACAAATCCGGAGGAGTCATTCTCAGACTTCCGGGTGAGAAAGAGATCCGCGCTAGTCTTCCGATTTGGATGACTTAGCCTTCAGCGGGTTGTAGCGAGATATCCGGTTCTTATGTAGTCTTCCGGATCAGAGGATTTTCATTTGCTTGAGAAATCCTTACTTGTCTCTGACATTTCCGATCAAGATATCCAATTTCCATATCACTGAATTTGATCAAGTCTTCAGGCATCAAAACGCTTAAAGAAATATCACAGCTTTATTGGAAATCTCAAGAACTCGGTTTTAACAATATTTCTAAAAAGAAAAATTACATTGAATATTGGGGGAGACCAAAAGTCCCTATTACATTCTAAATACATCATCATCAAAATCTATAATATTTTTCCCAACAATTTCCCCCTTTTTGATGATGACGAACAAGTGTTTAAGAGTTCCGGTCGCTGTACTGAGAACTAATTTTATAACTTTCTTTTAGTTTCTCATAACATACACGAACAATTGTTTTTGAGAATTTGTCTATGTTAAGTTTAATGTTGTTAAGGATTTGGTTCAGAACAGAACTCTAAAACACTATAGAAGGCGGTAACTGGCAAAAGTCGAAGTCGTCTAAGACGTTGGCAGAGCGGTTGGCGTTGCGTTTGATAGATCTTTAATATCCAAAGTGGATATTCAAGATCTTGGAAGCAACACATCTCTCAAAAAGCAAAAACAAAAAAAATTGAAAGACAAGAAAAACAATTTGGAAAAGAGAATTGATTGTGAAAAAGATAAAATAAGGTTTTCAAAGATGAAGGGAAAAATAAAAATTTTGAAAAAGAATTTTATGGAAAAATTTTAAAGAAAATGCTTGGGAGAAGGGAGCAGAGGCAGCACAAAAAATTTAAAAAATTTGTAAGAAGAGTGCGGCGACTACTCAAAAATTAAAATTTGAAGAACGAAAAAGAGAGAAAAAATTAGATGCGACGAAAATGGAGAGAGTGTTGTTCCAGAGAAAGTGTATGGTATAATCCTGAAAAATACGAGAATTACACCATAAACTTTCTCTACTGCCGAGAATTGCACCATAAACTTTAGATTACTTTTCTTCTCACTAGGCTTTTCTCCATTGCCGTCTATGAGGGTGAGAAAGAAAAATTTCTCCATTGAGGATAATTTTCTTGGTGTTTTTCTCAGACAGTGAATTGAAGACTTTTCAAGTTGAAAGAATTGTTTGTGATGGAAATGGATTGGAATGTCTTGATTTAAATAGGGGAGAAGGAGGTTCACGGGTTCCTTTAAGAGAGTAGTTGGAACGGTGAGAGTAAAGGAGTTTCAACTTCCAAGAAGTTGACTACTGAAAAGTTGAAAGAATCTTTTACCGATTTCCAAGGAATTGAAACTGTTCTAATTAGAAAATCAGTTTCGTTTGGTTTGAGAAACGTAACTGTTTTAGTTTGGCTAAGCCCAAAAGAGTGGCCCAAAAAGAAAAGAAAGCTCTGTACTAGAGGGAAATTATTCCTATTGGGTTCTCAAGGCCCAAAATAAAACTATCATTTTTCATTCCCTATAGTTCTAATTTCTACTTAGGACGAGGTAGTACCAAAACAAATATGAATTTTATTTTTAAAAGAAAAGTGGTACTATTTTTCCAAGGTCCTGTACATTATAAAAATCCTAAGGACCAGTACTTTTAGAGCTAGTTGGAAATGAATTAAAGATTAGAGCTTAGTTTAAGAAGGCAGATTTTGTAAAGTACCTGAATCGGAGATTTCCAATTTTAGTACCAAAACTGAGATATCCGACTTCCGTTGCTTAGAGCTCATCAATAATTCATAGCCAAAAACACTTATTAGCCGAAAACTAGTTAAGTTCCCCCTGAATTTCATTCCCCCTGAATGTATGCGCTTCAGAAAACAAATTCTCAAAATCATACTTGAGATAAAGCATAATCAAGCATAATAAGCACAATTAAGAAAATTGTTGAAGCAATGTTTAACTGTTTAAACCAATCAAGCAATGTTTAAACAGGAAGGTGTTTTCATCAAAGCAAATTAGTGTTTTCACATACTTTCCCCCTGGTTTGATGAAAAGAACCTTCAATTCTTCTTGCGTTTTGAAGATCCGGCAACCTCACTCATGCCCTTCATGTTCCCACACAGTTCTTTGATGCGCCTTAAATTTTCACGTCTCTCTTCTGATTGAGCATCATTTGAGAAGTGGTCAACAACTGTACCTATAAATTCTGTTCCATCCAGTCCTGAGCTGGATAGATGCTGTGCTGAGTTTTCTGGATTTCTTTGCTGTGCTTCAAGGATTAGATTTGTCATGCTCAGATGAGAAGGGATATAAGATGCTTCTCCTTCTTTGACTGCAATAGGGAGCTGTGGTATTGGAGATGGGCTGTGTTGTTGGAGAATTACTTCCATCTTGCGGTTCCCAGAATTTGCGCCAATAAGTCTAAACAGCTTGTATGCTTCCTTTTGATTGTCAATGATCACCTTCAAGTAGTCTTTGGTCACTACCTGATTTGCAGAAGCTACTGCTAGGGCTGATCTGATGTCCATTTGGAGAAGGGACATCTGTTTTTGTAGACTAACTGTGACACTCGCTATTTGCTCTTTGACTTTGTTGAACTCTTTGAATCGAAGTTGACTGTCAGAGGCATATATTTCCATCGTGTTGCTCATAGTGTTACTTAGTAGAGAGATAATCTCCAGAGTCTTGTGCACTGATTTGCTTATTTCTTTGAGATCTGTGTTGTGCTTCTCTTCAGATTTCTCTATAAGCTTGGTGTACTTGGCTACCATTTGCTCTATCTCTTGCCTAAAGGAGGCATGTTGAGATGCTAGGGCTGATTCAATCAGCCCTTGGACCTTCTTTGTCCAGATTTCCGGCACAATATCCGAAAGGGTAGGGGTGGAAGAGCTATGGAAATGAAAATTGGTTACCTGATGAGAGGATGGTGTTCTTTGGAAGAGTTGCATTGGAAGAGATTCAGCATCTTCTTGTACATCTTCTTCATCAGTAACCTTCAGTGTTCTTTCAGACTCTCCTTCTGCTTCATCAAGCACAAAATCTGATATATCCCTAGAGAGGGAGTCTCTTTCTTTAGTTGCATTCTGTTCTTCAAAAATGGCTACTGGAGTTTGAGAGACCTCTAGTTCTGCCATTTGAGTTTCCTTTTTAGCTTCTCCAGAATTCCTTTGCGCTTCAACAGCTTGCTCCATTGTTTCTTGAAGAGCTGACTGTTCCGGAATTTCTACTAACTTCTCCGGGATCTCAATTTCAGTAGGATTGGGGATCTCACATTCAGTTGTAAGAATCTCAAAAACTTGAGATTGACCCAGTTGCTGAAATTCTTCTTCTTCTGCTGTTTTGTGGTTCTGTTCTAGTGGGGGAGAGGTTGCCTTCTCTTGGACAGCTTCAGTCAGAACCATTTCAGAAGCATGTGAGATTTCCTGAAGAGCAGGTGAGGTTTCCGTTTCAAAGGCAGGTGAGGTTTCCGGAAATGTTTGGAAGTCCTCAGTTGTTGCTTCCAAAACAGCTTGTGCTTTAGAAGTGAGAACCACCTGTTCTTCTGTGGTTTTAGAGAAGACTCGTTTGTAGACTGAAGGATCTTCATCATCTACTTCAAATTCTGAATTTGGTGAGTTGGCTAGGTATTCCAGATGCAGGTCTTCATGGTTCCTTTGCCATACCCAATAGTCGTCCAAGATTTCTTCATAGCTATGGTTGACTGGTATTCCTAAGCATTTCTTGATGATCTTCTCATTCTTCAGCTGTTGGTCCCAATCCATCAGTTGCTTTGCTGAATTTCCAACTTTCCATGCTCTCCAATCATAGTAGAGCTGCCAGAATTGGTTATCAGCATCATCCATTTGAGGTTGAGGTGAGGGGGTTGGAAGGCTTTGGACTTGAGGGATTTCTTCTTCAAGTTGTTGAGGACTCCGGTTTTGGGCAGAGGTTTCCTCAGCAGGTTCCTTCTCCTTCAACTTATCCGAGTTGACATATTCAGATGTTGAGGGAGAGGAGAGTTTCCTCTTCTTCCTTTGAAGTTCTCCTTGAATAGAGACTTCTTCTGCTTCTTCCACACTGACCAGAGCAAGGTTCTGTGGTGCTTCAATACTAATGGAGGGAGACACCACTTGCTTCCTTTTGGCAGTCTTTGCCATATGGATGAGTGGGACATTATCTGATGAGCTTTTCTCTGCAGTGGAACTAGCACTAGCTCTGTTTTCTCCTTTGGAGGATAAGTAGTATAGCCAGTATCTGGCTTCATACTTTTTCCCTTTAACTGCAGCGCCCATAGATTCCAAAATATGTCCAATATACAGACCTTGACAGAGATACTTCTGATTGTGCTTTCCTAGATGTTTTGAAATGGATTTGAAAAAGTGTGCAGCCCAGTTTACCTTAGTTTTGGTAATGAGAGAGTTGATGATGAAGGCTCTCTCCTGGGTGATGTCATC